TAGTGGGGTTCATTTTTCTGGAGTTTCTCTAGAAGTGGCTTTCCCATGATCACAGCCAAAAGGTGGGCCCTGTGGTCTGCCTCACAATTATGTTCTTTCTTTTTTTCTCTCTCTCAGTTTGTAAAAACCTTCTGGGCTATCTGAAGCAACTAGGTGGCATTCATGCCAGCAAACCCATCTACTTTTTAAATCTTTTCGCAGACGTCAGAGGCACACTTTGTCACAAAGACTGAATTCATCATCTGCTGATTTTGGGGGGCCTCAGGGTCAAATGGAGAATAAGTTTGGAATGCTTCATGTAGTCTCTCATAAAATTTAGCAGATCTTTCATTAGGTTCTTGGATAACTTCAGCAATTGTGGATATGTTAATAGGTTTCTTCCCTCCCTCCTTTATTCCTGCCAGAAGAGCCTTGTGATATTGTCCTAGAGTGTCAAGGCCTTGTGCAGTATTGAAATCCCAATTTAGACAGGTGAGAGGGAAGACGATGTTTACCCAGCCAACAGGGTCAACACAGCGTCTGGAATTCTAGCCCTTAGCCAGGCTCATCCTCCCTCAAAAATATGGGCATGGTCTTCAGTGCTGAATCTGTTGGTAATTGTCCCAAGTAGGCTGATGTGTCCAAAAGATCAAAGTTAGGAGATTGATCATGGCTTGGGGCTTTTCCCAGTAAAAAGGAGTGTGATGCTTCCAGTTGAGGAGACCAGTGGAGCTGAAAGGCTGGTGGTGCAGAGCAGGTTGTTGATCCGGTCCCCCTGGACCGCCAGGATGTCCTTGGAGAGGCATCTGGAGATGTGCAAGTCAGTGGCTGTGTGGGGTTTTCTTCAGGAGGCTCTTGGGGACTAGGCAGCCTCGGGAATGGTGTAGTCAGCGGAGATGGGGCAGTGGAACCTGGGGGACTGGCTGGTGGCTGGCTGGGAGCTGCCTCTGGAGGCAGTGGTGGCGGTGGCTTTGGCAGGCTTTGGTGGTCACTCGCATGTGGGGGAGGAAAGTCCTCATCAGGGTCATCAGGTAGGATGGGATAAATCTGTTCAGTCTGTGGAGTCATCTCCATAGGGGACTTGTGACCTGGTTGATGGGCTTTGGCCACCAGGAGAGTTCCTTTTTCTTCACAAGCACAGGCATGAAGCCAAAGTAGAAGGCTCTGACATAGTCCAAGCCAGGACTCCATATAAGGGACTTGATCGGATGGTCATTTGGTTTTGAGTTTGTTATTTTCTCCCAAACTTGGCTAACAACTTCCACATCTAGAGTCCCCTCCAGTGGTCGGTCAGGACCCAGGTGTGGCCACTGAGCCTCACAGAAAGTAAGAGCCATTGAGGTTGCATTTTCGTGCTGCAGTTGTCTGAAAATCCTTTCCTGAAAATTTTCGGCATACATTCAAGGGGAGCTAATTTTACTCTGGCTTGCACCCACTCTGACTCCCTCTAGTGTGTGAGCCCTTGAACAGTGTCACAGCAAACAAGGGGTACCCCTTACAAATAAGAGACCACTTAGGCACCTGCCTAGCTCTCTCCAATGTTGGGACTGTCCAGACTAAGGAGAAGCATTTGTAGATTCTCCATTTTGTCCTTGTCAAGACTCCAAAGAGATCTTGCCATTAGACACATCCATGGAACCACAGGTTAGGGCCCAATGAAGCTCCATAGCTTTGAGCCCCCATGAGGGGGTGGGGCTTCACTGTGGAACACAGACAAAATGACCTATTGCTTATGTCATCATGTCATCCATTCACAATCAGTGCACACACTCACACACAGGTACACAGAGGTTAATGAATTCCAGCCCCTAATCCCACGGGCAAAGTCTAACTGAAAGTGACTGTTCTGACTAACACAGGCAAGGAGTGATCAAATCCTCCTTCATCGCACACAGGGAATGGAAACTGACAAACTGAGGGATGTCCCAGGGCAATCCTTCCTCGTCAGAGGGCCCGAACTGGTTGTGTTCCTTCTCCTTCCATTGGTCCAATGAGATCTCTACTGTTGTGCAGGGGCTCCCAATCCAGGACCACCAAGAAGACTCTGAAAGGAACCAGAGGGCGTGCCTTCTTACCACAGGTTGGAGGGCAAATCACTGCTGTGGCCCACAGGCCTCCACTGGGGACCCAAATGGCCAGCACACTGTTTTCCCAGCCAATGCACCAAGAATGTTGCAGAATCTATAGCAAACTGGATGGAAAACACTCTGCACCAAGGAGTTGGAAGGCAACTTTTATTACACCAGTGGGCTGGTGGGAACCAGGTCCAGATCACCAGCCCCAGCTTAGAGTAAAATAGCAATTTATATACATGTTCTAAGCAGGAAGTACAAAGTTGATAACAGGTTATTCTATAATTGGTTGCGTATATTCAGTCACATGTTGTCAGGCAGATGTATCTGGGGCAGATTTAGTTAGAGGGGGCCATTCATGGTGAAGCAGGAAGAACTGGGGAAAGTTAGGGTCCAAGCAAGTGGGTAAGATTAAGCATGTCCTTCACAGGGCTAGCGTGTCTCAGGAAGATAGTCCTTGAAATAGGCTAGCAAAACAGGATATGCTTGTAGGCCATTGTGCCACTGACAGACAGAGCTGAGTCAAATTATCTCTGAGTTGCAGCTGGGTAGTACTGACTTTATTGTTTGGTTCTAGGAACTAATTATTGATTTCTTCTATGACCCTATTAAAGAGAACATTGTTTTATATCTATATATAAAATTATATAATTTCTGTGGGTTTTTTGCCATTGATCCTAGTAAAGATAGAGAAGACAGGAAATAGGAGGGTGAAAGACAAAAATTGAAAAATTAAGCAATGAAAAATGGAAAGGAGGAGAGAAAAGTGAGATAAAGGATCTCATTAAGAAGCTTGAAAAATAGTAAAATTAGATAAAGGTGACAGGAAAGAACAAATAAGAAAAATGAGAATTAAAAACAAAAAAAACAGGAAGAATTTTACAGAAGCTGCAGAAAAGTGTGGAGGAAGAGGAAAATAAAGGGAAAGTTCAGGTTGATGAATCACAAAAGACAAGGAGCTGCTGCCAGTTCCATCTTCAGAGCAAGCGTTAGAGCAGTTAAGAAGAGAAAATAAAGACATCGAAAATCTGAGAAGAGAACGACAACGTTTGGGAAGGGAACTAGAGAAGGCAGAAACTGAACGATCTACCTGTGTTACCGGAGTCAGGGAGTTGAAGACACAGTTAAATGAAACTCACACTTAAAACTGAACAAAGTGAAAGACAGAAGGTAGCAGGTGATTTGCTTATGGTTCAACAGTCACTGGATCTTATCCAGTCAAAAACAGTACAAGCTGCTGGAGATACTACTGTTACTGAGAATAGTGATGTTTCCCCAGAAATGGAGTCCTCTGAGAAGGAGATGATGTCTGTAAGTCTAAATCAGACTGTAGCACAGTTGTAGTAGTTGCTTCAGGCTGCAAACAAACAGCTCACAAAGGAGAAATGACACTACCAGGTTTGGAGTGAAGTAATTGGGGAACTGTTCAGTTGAGGATAACAGAAGGCATTGTATTCTATTTTGCCAAATTAAAGCCTTATTTATGTTTTCACCTTTTCTACTGTCAAAAAAAAGGGGAAGAAACCAATGAAGCAAAAAAAGGGAGAAATTTGAATTTTCTGTATTTTTGAATGAGAGGTTTCTTTCCAAGATCCAGAGTCTTGGAACTCAGGAAGTCATGGTTTTCTCCACCTAGCTTTACTACCTGTATGTTTATGAAGTGTCCCCCTGCTCCAGAGCCCCACTGTCCACTCACCCCAGGCTGTGGCAACTTTCTGAGCCACGGTATGTCCTTGTCCATGTTAGTAGATGGGAAAACCAATCAGACCACTGATGTGTGCTGGACGTCAGCAGGGGTTCAATCAGACCACTGGACTTAACGCCAGTACTTTCAGACTCAGCTGCCCCTGAAGGCGCACATGCCAGGCCTGGTTTCTCATCACAAGGGTGGGCCCTGTGTCCTTCCCAGCCTGAGTTCAAACTTCTCAGGGGGTCTATGTCTAGCCCACACCCTCTCCACAACTGTCCCGAGGCTGCCTCTCACCTAGGCACTGTGGGAGAGTAACACTGAGAAGCCTGAAGTAAAGTTGTTTCGTTGTTCTGCGGCTTAATCTTAAACAAGTCACCCCCTTCCCAAGCGGCTCCTGACTGAATGCTTTCTGGCGATGTAGTGAGCACTCTACTGGATTTCTTCCCGAACTGTGGCCTGCTGTGCAGAAGGATCATGTTCAGAGTAATACTCCACACTTTTTTTTTTTTTTTCAGCTTACAATAGCCATGGGCTTTTCTTGGGCCTGCTGGTCTAGTCCAGTCCAGTGTTTCTCCCTGGAGCTCCTGAGCCTGGGTGTTTACCTTGTGTTAGTAGAGTCAGGCTTCCCTCCCTGGGAGCTGGGGTGAGCTTCAGAGTACTTCCTTCTTTTCTCTGCATTGTGTTCCATTTCACAGCTTCTCTGCAGTTTCTAGTTTTCCTGTCAATTCCTTCCCTAATCCAGAAATTTACTTCTTTTTTTTTCTCTTCACCAAGTTGTTATTTTCCAGTTGTCTGGATTCTGAGTCCCAAAGACACTGTGCTTTGCTGCTGACCACTATTCTGTCATTTTCAAGCCCCCGGAAGGAGCTCTGGAAGGGGATATTGGGATCTCCCTCTCCCTGACCCTCCTCTCTCCTCCTTTCCAACCGCCATGAGGCGAGCACCTGGCTGCACCACATGCTTCCCACTGTGATGCTCTGCCTCACCACAGGCCGAGAGCATGGGCCAGCAGTCCGTGGACCGAAACCATGAGCCTAATAATCACTTACTTTGCTTCTCTCAGATTTTTTCACTGTGTTGGGAAGTGGACTGACACAGGCTTCTAAGTCATGAAGCCCCAAGGCCAGCCAGGCTTGCCCAGGTTCCCCTGCCCTCTGCGTCTTGCGGTGGACAGGTATCTGCTGCCAGGCTGCCTCCCACCCTTGAGTCAGCCCTGTGAGAGCCAAGCTGAGGGACGACCTGCCTTGTCTTTCCTCTAGATTGTCATTCCCTTCTTCAGCCTGCTCATCAAAGACATCTGCTTCCTGAATGAGGGCTGTGCCAACCGCCTGCCCAATGGACATATCCACTTTGAGGCAGGGCCTGAGGGCCTTGCGGGGGACTGTGCCAAATTAGGCCAGGAGCGTTCCCAAAGCAGGACCATTGGCCCCTGGACAGACTAATGGGGGACCCTGGAGTAGAGTGCAGCTTTCAGGAGGGATTACCACGGTGTCCCCATCCCTTACATCTCCAGAGGGAGGGACTGAGGCTCACACACATGGATATGCACTCCATGCTGGGCCTTGTTTTACCTGATTGAGTTGTCTTTCTGTTGCTATAGTCCCATCCCTAGTAGGATTTTAAAAGTCAGTAATATATACTGCCCAGTGAAGTCTATTATGAGAGGTGAATTTTGTAGGGAAAGATTTCCCCTTTTGTTTTTGTAATTGAATTTTGGGTGTACAGTGAGTACATTCTATAATTCCTTGACCTGGAGGGTTATAACTAATTTCCGTGGTAAGGGAAATATAAAAAGTTTTTCAAAACATTTGGAAAGCAGCACTGTGTATGCTGGGCCATTGTCAGTCTTGAGTACAGGAAAAAAAAACCCTGTATCCTTTATTTTGTATTCAGGCACCTGGAGTGCTGCTCACCACTCCCTTCTCCGGCTGTGGCTCCCGCCCCATTGCCTGAGCTGCCCTGCTAGCGGTAGCTCATTGCCATCAGGGGAGAACTGTTTCCCCTCAGCCTCACCCTTTGCACCAGCACTTCAGTGGCAGTGAGCAGGAGGGCGTCGGTGCCCCCCTCACTGCTGGGGATGGCCTCTATCACCCTCGCCCATCCCCAGGGGACGTGACAGTCACTGCCTCTGCAGTCACAGCCACCACTTTCCCCCCCTGATTTGGGCTGTTGTGGCTCCCTCTCTGGCTGCTAGAGGCCCTGCAGTTACTGGGGGTCCAAACATAGCCACTTGGCCAGGGGCCCAGGATAGGGCAGCAATCCCCACCCCACCCCACCCCCGCAGATGCAGCAGGGCATGCTGCCCTGGCTTCTGCTCAGAGCCTGCAGCCGTGGCCACCAACGTGGAAACTTGCAGTGCAGAAGTGTGCATGAGGTGGCAGGGAGAGCCGTGGCGGCTCGGGTGCGCTGGGGTTGTGTCCTGCCTTCCCGGCCCTGGGCTCTCTGGCTCCTGACTGGTGGTGCACATTAGTGGTCATGGTTGGATAGGGTGCACAGGTGTGGAGGCAACTGGGGCACCCTGGTTCAGTCTGCCTAGGACCAGAGCATGGGACCCTCTCTGCTCTCGGCCGCACTCCCCGCTCCCGCGGTACTGTGCTGTGCTGAGCCAGCTGCGCAGGCAGCCTGATCCGAGCACAAATCCATAAAAAAAAATAAAAAATAAAAAAATCCCTTCTATAATAAACAACCCCCTGGACCTAAACTTGCTTTAGTTATTCCTTTCCAATCATTTGGGGCCATAATCTGTTGTCCTATAAATTCTATTAAACCTAAGGTAAAAGGGGCTGTAGGACTATAGGTAGTGGTAGTTTGTTTTAATTCTTTGAAGGTCTTAAAGGTTATGGCTTCATGAAGACATATAACTTGTCCCCAATTACTGGGAACTTGAGCTTCAGCAGCAGGGTAGATATGTTGAAAACCTTCGGTGGACTCCCCCTCCCATCTGGCTTCTGTCAGCACCAATCGCAAGGGAGAGAAAACAGCTCCACTCCCTGAGGGGTGGAAGTTCCAACTTGTGACTCAGCAAAATTTCTCAGCATCAAAAAGCAGGATGGTCACCTGTGGCTCAGTAAAGGTTATCAGGGTTATAAAATGGAATTCACACCAAACACGCCTCCCGTGAGGAAGGCTCCTTTCTGCCCCACACCGCTCCTTCCTTATCTAAGTCAGCAAAGCTAGAGCTCTGTCCGGGTTGCTGTGCCCCGCCATCCTTTTCCTGCTCCAAGCCAAATCCTTTGTGGTTGTAAGACCTCCTCTAATCAAAATCCACACAACAAAAGTAAATACAGGAATCAAGCATGCAACCAACAATTCCATATACATCTGTGGTTCTCGAGACTCTGCTTGCCCCGTGTTTAACACCTGATAGAGTCAATACACCTCTCTCCCTTTATGTCTCACGAGCTCGTTTATCTCGCCGGTCCTAGTGAACCTGTTTCTCTTCGCCCCAAGTTTTATGCCTGATGATATCAGTATCAATACACCTCTGAGATGAATATTGACGCTCCCAGTGCATTTCTCACCCATTGTGTGCACAGTGAGAGGTGTCCCCTCACCTACTGCTTCTTCTTACCTGGGTCCTATGTTCAGGCGTCAATATGCCTCGTCCCATGCAGCTCTTAGCTCCCCAGGGAAAAGGACAGTGAGAGGATGAAGAAATAGATAGGAGACACACGCTGAGGTCAGGTGGAACCCTCTCTCCAGATGGGAGGAAAGGGACTGCGCTTTTATTTACATAATTTGGTAGTTCGATATCACGTAACATCCCTGTTGCCTAACAACCAATTGCTTAGATTGCCACAGGAGCTCTTTATTCTCAGATCTGCCTTGCCTCAGCCCTGCACCTGTGATCAATTTCCAGCTTTACTGGCTCCCTACAGACCCTGGAACCCCGCTTTGAGAAAGAGAACATTCTGGAGCCACAAACTGTCAGGTGGTGACGGCTCTGAGTGGCCAGGGGCCAGTGCTTGGCTGTGTTCACCAGGGGAGGCCCCCACCCAGCCGATGGGGCTCCCGGCTCCTCAGCATGCAGTGCAGTGCACGCCACCGGGGGAGCACTTGCTGCACCCCAAAAAATTAGGGAAAAGGATTTCTTCATGACTTTGCCTTGGGATACTTTCAACTTTGTCCTTTTGCTTTTCATATTTGGAGCCAGGAACTTTCTGGAGAGGGCTTAACCCATAACTGTACCACCGTCCTCAAACAGCAGATGATCAGATAAACCAGCCAGCTGCCCACCTGGGGCTGCAATCGGGCAGCCCACCTGCTGCGTCTGTCCTGGGGCAGTGAGAGGAGCCAGTCCCAGGCCGGGGGACAGTTGCTGAGCTGGGCGGGCAAAGCTTGGCAGGAAGCGCACAGCAGCCCCTCGGCCACAGGCACATGTGCCGGGACCCCCGCAGAGGCAGGGACCGCAGAAAGCACCGGGCCCTGCTTTTCCTGCACACACAGCTGCAGTGCCTCTTCCTTCCTAACTGTGGTCGTACTGTTTGCAGTTTGAATGTGCAGTTGTCTTTTCTCCTTCCTCACAGTTTCAGATAGAATATTTGTTCCTACCGTAGAGCTTAGCAACTTCAGCATGGGACTGTTTTCTTTCCCTACAGTATCATGGTAAGAATACAAATCACACCATCCCCTTTCCTGCCATTTAGGATCATTATTAAGTAAGAGTTCCTCATTATACAGGACACGGGCCTGTGATTGTGTGACATGGATCTGATAACCAGCAGGGCTGCTAAGCGACCCACAGGCTGGCAGTGCCAACGGCGTGGACACACTGGACAAAGGGACGCTCACATCCCCGGGGGTGCCCCAGACTTCACCATGCTGCTCACAATGGCACACATTCTAAAACACATGGATTGCTTACTGCTGGAATTTTTCCATGTGACATTTCAGATTGTGGTTGACCAGGGGTAACTGAAACAATGGAAAGCAAAACCAAAGATAAAGGGGGACACCTGTACACGGTTCCTATCGGTGCTAGCACAAATCACCATGAAGTTGGGAGCTCAAACACAAGTTTACCCTTATGTGAAAGACTAAGTGCTTTCCTACTGTGAGGAATAGCAAGGTGAGAATGTCTGTCTTTCTCACTCTTGTTTTCCGTAGTGATACAGCACCTAGTTAATACAATAAGGCAAGAAAAGGAAACACCAGAGATCACAAAGGAAAAAATTTCACACTGTCCCTGTTCGCAGGTGATGAGGTAAAAACTCCCAAGGAATCTACAAAAAACTTCTCGAACTAAGAGATGAGTTTAACAGAGTCATAGAATAAAAGATAAACATACAGCAAGTAACTGTATTTCTATGTTCTAACAATAAATACATGGATATCAAAATTTTTTAAATATGATGCTATTTAGCCAGGGTTGGTGGTTTATGCCTGTAATACCAGCACTCTGAGAGGCTGAGACAGGAGGGTCTCAAATTGGAGCCCGGCCTGGTCAACTTTGTGATTTTGCAAGACCCTGTTTTAAAATTTAAAAACAAAACAAAAACTGGAGACATAGTTCAGTGCAGAGACCTTCAGTTCAATCCATTACTCCAAAAAAAAGTGTGTGTAATGCCATTTCACTCAAAAAGGTGAAATTTCTTTATTTTACTCGTAAAATGAAATCTTAGGTACAGATCCTACAACACATGTACAAGATTTGTATATTTAAAAATTGTTCAATACTGAGGTCAAAGATCTGAATAAAGATAAAGAGATAAGACACTCATGAGTTAGAAGACCCAACATGGCAAAGATGTCAACTCTCCGTCCCAAATTCCAGTAGGGTTAATAAAATTTCAGTCAAAATCCCAGGAAGATCTTTTGCAAGATACACACAAGACTTTCCCAAAGTCTATAGGGAAAGGCAAAGGAACTGGAATAGTTAAAACAATTTTGAAAAAAGACAAAATGAGAAAAATCAATCTCCCTATTCTAAAGCTGACATTCTGTAGCCTCAGTAATCAACACAGTGTGGTGCTGGGGATATAGCTCAGCAGCACAGTGCCTGCCTGGTGAGCATAAGGTCAGACACACACACAAAAAAATATATATACATATATCAAGACAGTGTGGTACATGGATTGGCAGAACAAAATAGAAACCCCATAAACAAACCCACACAGATGTGCCCAATGGCTTTTAACAAAAATGCAGGGCTGGGGATGTAGCTCAGTGGCACAAGGTCCTGAGTTTGATTCCTGGTATAAAAAGAAAAGCAAAAACAATTAATTTGAGGAAAGAAAGCCTTTCTACAAGCAATACTGGAATATTTTTGACATCCATACACTAAAAAGAAACCCAATATAACTTTGCCATCCTACACAAAAATGTGGACTCAAAATGGTTCACAAGCCTAAGTGTAAAATGTAAAATTCTGAAACTGGGGTGGCCTGTGTGTGCGGGGAGTCAGGAGAAAACCTTCAGGCTGCAGACTGCTCTACCTTCCGACGCTTGGACTCAGGGTTGGTCAGCTTTAGTGGTGTGACAACATCATTCCCTGGCAGCTGCAGCTCACGCTGTGGATGTGGATCTTTTCCCTGTGGCGACGGTCTGACACTGTGTCCTGGTGGAGGGCAGCCGTGCCGAGCCGCAGCCCTGTCAGCCCTGTCACAGGGCTGTGGTCCAGTGTGCACTGCGGCTGTCCCTGATGGTCAGGAGGCTAGGTGTGGTGAGTGCATCTGATGCGCAGTGATTTGACCCCACGAAATGTTTCCTGGGATGTGATCCCATCGTATTGGCAAGCATGGGTATAGCCCTAGACATAGATTGTATAATGTGTAACTATTATACTACCTAGTGATTGCACTCTTGGGCTTTTATTTATTCCAGACAAACGAATAGTCATGTTCACAAAACAGAAAAACCTCTTTGTTGACATTTATAGCCACTTTACTCATCATAGCCAGAAATTAGAAACAGCCAGACATCCTTCAGGAGGTAACTGGTAAACAGGCTGTGCTATATCCACACCACATACTGTGCCACACAGGAAGGAACCCGCCCCTGATGCATTTGACAGCATGGGCCAATCTCCATAGCCGAGTGAAAAACCAACCTCCCAAAGTGACTATGAATCCCTTCATAGACATTCTTAAAATGATCAAAGAAGCCAGGCATGGTGGCACATGCCTGTAATCCCAGCACTCTGGGAGACTGAGGCAGAAGGATCACAAATTGGAACCCAGCATGGGCAATTTAGAAATATAGTGAGACCCTTTCTCAATACATAGATGATTGATAGATAGATAATAGATAATTGATAGATAGATAACAGATAGATAGATAGGTGATATAAATAGATGATAGGCAGGGAGGGAGGCTGCGGGTATAGTTCAGTACAAAAGCCCCAAGTTCAATTCCTTACCACAAATGAGAGAGAGAGAGAGAAACTGTAGAAATGGAGACCAGACCAGGAGTTAAACTAGCAGGAAGGGCAATGTGAGGGGCGCTTTGCTGAGTGCTGGGGCCTCACTTTCCCGTGCTCGCTGCTGCTGACCAGCTTTGTGAGGGAGGATCTTACACATATCACCAGTGCAGGAGAAGATCAAAATTCAAAATCTGAAGTCCAGCTTCTGCTGAGTGCATAGCACTTCAGTAGCACCATGAAGTCTATCCTACTCCACAGATTTGCAGGTGGTTACCACCAGGGGACGTGGGGTAAGAGGTCCCAGCTCTCCCTGTGTCATTTCTCACAACTCTGTGTTAATCTACAGACAAGAAGCCGGCCAGGTCAGGTGTACAACAGGTCCCTGTGGTCAACCACCTTGTTTAATTTCGCTTCCTATCTGTGTAGGTCTTTTCTTGGCTTCTTACGAGAGTGAGAGTCCAGAGAACCACACAGAGAAAGAGAGAGGTGGAAATCGCTAAGGTGAGTCTGTGCCAAGGTGGGGTGGGAAGCAGGAGGCAGGAGCTGGGGTTGCTTGGGGCCAGGGTGGGGCCCGAGGGCTTCCTGGATTCCCACTCTCAGCTTCCCTGGCTTGGCCAGTGCAGGGCAGGGTCAAGTCAAGGCTGTGGGGGTTGGTGCAGAACTCCGGGGCAGAGTAGGGAAAGGGGCAGAGCCTGTGACTCCTGGTGGCCAGCAGCTGCCTCTGACCAGTCCAGATGTGTGGCCAAGGACCAGGAGCTCCAGCCCGTATTTCTGTGCCAGGAAGTGAGACACACCGCCACGTCCTGCTGTCTGCCATGCGAACACAGCCAAGTGGAGGTCGGAAATGGTTCCCGGCAGTGGGCGCTGAGGGCTGGGCCGAAAGGGTTTGCAGGTACTCACCTGCCTGCCGCCCCCTGTGCGCGGGTGGTGGGCGTGTGGGAAGCAGTCTACCCGAAGCCAGGGGCTCTCACCGCTGTCCCCATGCTTGAATCTGCAGATCTTCTATTCTGGGGCAGACTTGAGAAGCTCAGAGCGGAAGGAGAAGTGGAGCCAGCAGCGGCTCCTGCAGCCCTGCCTCTGGGCCTGGGCCGAGGCACAGGGAGCACCTCACCATGGCAGCTCCAGGCCACAGGGAGCCTTTTGTGGGACCTTGGCCTCCACAGACTTGGCAGAACCTCCAGGCATGTGGGTGGCACTTGCCTTGGGACACCCTGCCTTCAGGACCATGAGGTCACACTGCCAGTCATTCTGTCCATCCTGGGCAACTGCAGCCTCTCGATCTCACTGAGTGGCATGTGTCGCAGAAGTGCCACCCACCCTCCAGCCCGAGGGGCTCAGGAGCCTCCGCACTGCAGCAGGCATCCTGTGTGACAAGCGATCAGTCTGCAGCAGCTCAGAGCGGCCCCTGCCATCTCCTGAGGGGCCCTCACCTGTCCTTCCCAGGGGCTTGCTTCGCAGCCCGGGCCCCTGCCCTTTCTGGGTCCTGCTGGTTTTGGGACAGCTCTCTGGTGACAGCTGTGAAGCAGGACCAGCTGGAGTCCTGGGGTGGATAACGTGTGCGCTACAACCCTGCCACCCAGCTCCCTGTGAACCTCAGCATCAGGATAAACATGCATTCGCACATCCTGAATGTCCACGTTCACACTGTGTCTCTGACCCTCAGCCAGCTGCAGGGCAGTTTCTGAACTGTGCTCCGGGAACGCTGTAGCCACGGTTTAGGAGCAGGATGGGTGAGGTGGCCATGTCCAACCCACGGGCGCCAGTGTGCACTGGTGCCTGGAGCACAGCACATGCTTAGGAACCTTCTGGTGACTGGGTGCACAAGCACCTCCTGTTCTGAGTGGGGTGATTATGCCCTTACAGCCTGCAAGGCTGCCCCCAGGCTACCCAGTCTCTCACTTCCCATACCTCATGCACTGATGGCCGGTGAAGCAGCTGAGGTGCCACCTGACATGTGACGAGGTCACTAGCCAGGAAGCCAGGCAGGACAATGTGCACCTCTCCTGATCAGGGCCTGCTAGGTTGACATGAGAGGAAGACAGGGCATTGGGGTACACTGCCCACCCCGGCTGCCTCCTGCCCATGTCAGGCCCCCAAAGGGTGTGGTCAGCTCAGAGCTAGACTCAGCTATCCCGGCCTTGGTTCCCCTTAGGGGACAGGGGGGTCCGGGGCTACCAGCACCCATGAGTGCCTCACCCAACTTGGGGAATTCCTCCTGGTGAATCTGGAGCTCAGTGAGGTCCCAGAAGGAGAGAGCAGCCAGGAGGCTGGCACAGGCATGGGAAGGCCACACCCTCGGCTTGAACTGACTGTACCAGGAGCTGGTGGCAGGGCAGGAACTAGGCTTCAGTGGAGCCTTTGGGGCCAGCCTGAAGAGTGGTAGGGACCTTGAGGCTGGCTAGAACCTCCTCCTCAGTCCCCCATTCCTACCCTAACCATCCCTTACCCCTGGCCTCTTGGACATCAGCAGGACTGTCCCTGCCTCCCAGCCACACTTTGCACCCGAGGGCAAGCAGTGCAGAACCCATGGAGCCTGCCCAGGGCCTGGTTCTGGCCAGAGGAAACCTTGGTGCCCCAGCGACGGTGACAGGAGCTGGTGTCCCTCTTCAGCCTGACCACCTGGCTCCACTCTGCACCATGAGCATCCCAGGGAAGAAACCTGGAACCCTGGGCTGCAAGGGCAAGGACTCCTGCCAAGATATCCTCCTCTCACCTTGTGTGACTCTTCACCCAGGGGCAGGGTCCTTTCATCTCACCAAGGCCAGCAACCCCCGTGCCTCCCTAGAGCTGTGCCCACCCCTGTCCCAGAAGCCCTGCCCCAGCTCACTCCTTCTCATCAGCACCTCAACGGGCAGGGGAAACTTGAAGACAGAGGCTGGAGAAGAATACATGTTCCTGAGACTGGAACTCCCAGCGGTGGACAGGAGGCAGCTCAAACCTGATCAGCATCCACAGACGACAAGGCTTGGCCTTCCTACCCCACTGCAAAGGGAACGCGGTGCTGTCTCCCACTTCTGCAGTCTTGTGCACACTGTTTCTTGATGCTTAGCATATTGTTCCCCCACCTTGTCAACACAGAGCTGCAGCCTCAGGTGCAGGACCAGTGTCTTAGTTATTTTCACTTCACTGAGACCCAGCACCCAAAGTTAAAGGACAGGTTTATTTTTGCTCACAGTTTGCAGAGGTTGCAGTCCAGAGTCTGCTGGCTCCAAGGCAGGCTAGAATGGCAGAGGGGAAACAGTCCATGGCAGGGCAGCAGGAAGCAGAGAGATCAAGGGAGAAGGAGGGAGATAGACCCAGGTCATGCCCCCAGTGACCACCTCCTCCAGCCAGGCTTCATCTCCCAACACCACATACAGCTACAAACCCATCAACAGAGCAATCCACTCATGAATATCACACCTCTGCGATGCAGTCACCTCCCCAAAGCCTCACTGATGGGGCTTTAGGGGACGTTCTGATATACAACACAAGAGCCTGTCTTCTTGAAGGCGTTCTGGAAGCAGCCCCCTCATCCACACCTGCTGACCCTCAGCAGCCTAGCTCAGAGGAGGTGTCAGGATGGTGGCAAGGTGAGGCGTAGGCTCACCTCTGCTGGGGAGGGTCTGAGGGCAGGGGCAAAGAAGGCAGCTCACAAACTCCTGGCCCAGCCCTGTGGAGTGCACAGGACCGGGGCCCAGGCAGCGTCTCAGGACCATCCCAGTGTCCTCAGACCTGCGCTCTGCCCTGAGAGCTTCAGGGTTCCCTGGCTCACCTGGAGAGATGCGACCCTGAGGAGAACCACCAGGGGCTCCCCTCCAGGTGGGGATCACTGTGGCCCTTCTCCCAGAGCAGCCTGGGAGCCCTTGCTTGGGGTCACATCGTGAGCCACATGCAGAACTCATCCCTCCCTGAAGAGGTGCCTTTGATTTCCTGCCATCCTGGAACCAAGCCCTGTGGCCAGCCAGAAGGGACGCTGGAAAGGGCGCCACATGGCATAGCCTGCAGTGGTGGGACAGGGGTCAGCAGCAAACTTGCACCCAAGACTGCTGTCCCTGAGACCCCGCATCGCACCTGCACGCAGCTTGGGGTTGGAAGCTGCCCACCTGCCAGGCCACAGCCCTGGGAGGGAGCAGGGCACGGTCTCACCTTCTTACCCAGTGCTGCTTCTTGGAGCTGCCAGGGTGGGTGAGGCACTAGGTTTTGCCTCTGGGCCCTGGTCCTGGCTGGAGTCCAGAACTGATGATTGTCACTGAAGATCCATGGGTCCCTCAAAGCCCTGCCCCACAGGACTCATGGCTCCAGCCCACTATCCTGGCAGTCACTGGGAGGGGCCCCGTTAGTGTGTTCTGGCTGCCACAGAGAAATTCCGTAGTCACTGATAAGAGCAGTTCCACAGGTTGGAAAGTCAGGATCACGGCACCAGCAGTTTGTCTGCCGAGGGTCATCCTGCCTTCTGCATCCTCACACTCCCTTCCTCTAGAACGGTGCCAAGGGGCCCGGTCACCTCCTGTAAGGCCACTGCTTAATGCTATCACTGGGGCTTACATTTCAGTAATGTTGGGTGTTTGTCAGACCATAGAGGCTACTCTACTCCTCCCAGAACTGGAGCACACCCGGGTGTACACAGACACAGTCGTGTGGAAGTGAGTCTGTCAGTGTGTTCGTCAGCTTTTCATCACCGTGCACCACACCTGAAGCAGCTGATTTATAAAGAGAAGAGGTTTCTTCAGCTCAGGTTCCACAGGTCACGGCTGGGCACCTGCGTCCGCTCCATTCTGGTAAGGGCCCCTCACCTCAGCTCAACACGTGAGAGAGGGTCACAACCACAAAAGTGTGTGTCGGAGTGAGGGGCCCCCTTCAGGAAGCCACGGCGGCGAGGCCCCTCCTGTGAGCTCCTCCCGGGGGCTGCCCTCAGGACCTCCTAGCAGTGCCCACCCTAAAGGTGCCACAGATCCTGCCAAAACTGCCACCAGGGGACCACACCTCCTCTGAGGGACAGCAACAGCCAACCCATACCGGGGAGTCCCATCGAGAGCACGGCTGCGTGCACATTGAGGCGGCGTTTCAGCTCTTGTGAGGGATCTCGCCAGAATCTTTCCACCTTCAGGCAGGGTCTGCACAAGGCTGCTCACGCAGCACTGTCTGACGGCGAAAGGTCAGAACTCCTGTGCTCACAAGTAGGAGTCCACTACGTTAGCGGAGAACCGCCTGGCCCTCCCGCAGACTCTTCACAGCTAGTGAGGGCACTCGCGGGCTCACCTCACCCAGTGCCACGACTCCACGATGGACGCCCAGGCTGCCCTCCCCGGCACGGTCCAGGAGTCCCCACAAATCCCTGCTGACACTCGTATGGGGACCATGTTCCTGCAGCAAGACACAGGCCACCAAAATGACAGAATGAATCCTGACAGAGATGAGGGCCCACGAGCTCGGAACCCAACGCAAGGGATGAGGATGGTGCTCCCGGGGCCGGCTGAATGGTACCCAAGAGCGTCCGGGTGGGCTGGAGCAGGAGGGACCGGTCCCAGGAGCCTGAGTGGAGCCGGTGGCAGTGTGATCATCTGTAGCTCCACAGAGCCCCTGGAGACAGGAGAAACGGAAGCACGGTGGCGCACACTGGTAAACCCAGCTATGCAGGAGGCTGAGGCTGGAGGATCATAAATTTGAGGCCAGTGTGGGCAACACAGCAACATCCTGTCTCAAAATAAAAAAGAGCTGGGGATGTACCTCAGTGGTAGAGCACTTGTCTGTTTGGCACAAGGCCCTCAATTCAACCCCTAGTACCACAAAAAAAAAAAAAAAAAAAAGGAAGGAAGGGAGGAAGGGAGGAAGGGAGGAAGGGAGGAAGGAAGGGAAAAAGAAAGGGCAAGATAAGGGGTCAGCGTTTGTTATAGCATTTTAACACTATAAATTATTTTCGAGTAACACTCATAAAAATTTAATTTCAAAAAGGGTGTCAGACCATTTCATAAATCATTTGAAGCATTTTACAGCAAAAAGTTACAGAGTCCTGGGGCTGGGAGCATGGCTCAGTGGTCGGTGCTTGCCTGGCTCTCCAAGGGATATATGGTGTTTGCCTGTTCACTGTTTGAAGTCCATGTCCTCCTCAGCATCAGGAAGCCTCTGATG